TTTCTTGGGAGAACACTGGAGCAACTATATTTGAAATCGATACTCCGAGTTTATAACTCTTGCTAATGAAATTTAGGTTTGAGATGGATTCTTAAACTTGTTTTCCGTGGGAGTGATTCTGAGAAGGTTCTTGTGAGCAAACATTAATGCATAAAAAGGCATGGAAAGCAGCTTCAGTATTTAAAGCTTCAACAATATTCTTTAAAAGGGAATCAACCATGGACTTCAATATTCTTTAATATCAGTGTTGCAACAAGAAATTATTGAATTCAGAGTCTTGGACTCCCACCTACTTTGTCTATAAGAAAAGCATGGTAATTAGCACCGTAATCTCATTCAATCTAAGGATCAGTGTCCATAATTCAAAAGTATTTCTACGTGGACATGACCAAAAGAGACTGTCCAGTGTTCATGACTAAGACTGCAGCAGGACATGGTAATTGTCAAGGAGTGATCTGCTTCCCTGTAATCCTTTGAGTTTGTTGAGGCTAGTGAATCTGTGGCATTACTGATGTCGAAGAACAAAGATGCTTCAGTCTGTAGTCTCTTCATAGCAAAAGCACTCTAGTTATTGCCAACAACCCGTTTATCTGTAAAACAAGTTGTGAAAACTCCTGCATTACCATGGTGAAACCACTAGGCAACACATTCCCTGAGCAGATAGAGTTTACTTAAAAAATATAAACCCAAAAACAACCACGTTATCTTTATTGCCATCTTTCTGCTTTGTGATTCTCATAACTAATAACTCAAGTCATTTCTTTCCTGCAACGTACCATATCTATGCTTTTCAAGGAACATCAGTAGTGATCATGGGAGACTTATGAGCAACCAGACAGCAGAAATCAAATCTGCAAAAACAAAATAATTATGAGAATTCGAAAAGCTTATGTTAACTTACAGCAATTGGGTTCAAGAATATACCTGTCATTGTTTTCCTACATGAAGGAACACTACTTGGTGAGAATTGATACCCTGAGGTTTGCATTTTCGGCTATGCCTAAGCTGCAAAAAGGAAGTCCATAAGCTACTCTACTCTGATCTGACCCTCAAATTGATGAATTTCCATACAAGTAACAAGATATTTGGACACCCCTCCTGCTGGGAGCAAAATTGAACACCTACAAAAACACCTTGTATAATTCACTAATTCAGATCCCAGCAGGCAACAAACTTAGGTATATCATAAGAGTCTTCTCAAAAGTGTAGGCATGGTGCCTAATTAAAACTTATAAAAGATCAAAGCAAGCATACCAGAATCATCTTTCACTGGATTAAAGCTGCTTTCTTCCTTTTCTCCAGCTATTGTTTATTTATTTGATGATGACCTGTTAAGAGTTAAAGTCAATGATCAATGCAAAATAATTACTCAAGTTGCATTCAATTGATAGTTAACTTTAATATAGCTGAAATTTTTTTAACAAAAATTTACTTCGGGATTGAAGCTATATATAAGGCTGACCGGCTTACCATTCACAAATCAAAGATGCCTTGATGTACTCATGAGCTAACTTAAGTAAACTTGGTTATAGCCGCATCAAGCAAAATTGTCCATCCCCAAGAACTCGCAGTATGATCCAAATTTTTGAATAACGTGAGTTAATTTTTATCATAAGACCTTGCTAAGTGCTAACTTAAAATACTGTATGCTAGAAATGCAATGCCATAATAAGACTCATAAAAGATATATAGAAAGCAAGCCAGAGTGATCATCTTTCACTTGTTGAAGCTACTTTCCACCCATTCCTCTGCTATTACATGCTTATTGGATGAGTATCTCTTATGTGTTTTAAGCCAAGTGACCTAAAAGTATACTGATGTACTACACACATGACAGGCATGCAAAGGTATAATAGCCAAATTATAATTTACTAGAAAGTAGGGATAGTCCTAACCGTCTTTAGTGTTTTTCATTGTCCCACAAAAATTAAAACAAATGGTGGCACATACACGGTATCATAACTATAATCTATAAGCAGAGAAGTCCAGAAAAGAAATGTCATAAATGAAACAAAAGCTTGAATACAAAGATTTCCCCAAAGTTGCCCGGAGCTTTTCTCAGCACCCAAATGACGTTCTAGCGGAAGATCATAAAAGCACACAAATCTACCGCCACAACCCACTAAAAACAGGAATTTTAACAAAATAATAGCAAGGATTTAGCTAAAATTCACAAAGCCAGCACAATCTCAATTAAACAAACTAGAAAAAAACGCAACAGATTGACCATTACTGAAAAAGAAAAGGAAAATGAAAACGAGAACTGACCATCTTGGAACTGAAACTGAGAACCTTAAACTCGTCCAAGGAGAAGGACGAAGAAACAGTTCAAGAGAGAAGCTGAAAGTTGATCCCTTTCTCTCTTTAAAACTCTCCCTTCGGAACTAGAGACGATTTGGAAGGGATAATTTCAGCCTTTCC